AAAACTTCTCAAGCTAAAACTAACCAAACTGAAAAAGATCCCAAAATAGTAAAAAGGGACATGTACGTTATATGTAACTTTTCCTTACTATTATTTGATAAGATAACTTTCTTTATGTTATCTTGTTATCATCATTTGAATTCAATGTTTGCAGAATTTTCATCCTTCATCGATTTAGATTGCAAATGATTTATAGTCATCTAATCAAATTTCCTTTTAAAAAAATTAGCGGAGTTGATAGATAAAACCTTTTGATAAATTCTTGTTGCTCAAAATCTATGTGGATCGATAGTTAATTTCAAGCTATTTGTTGTTTCTTTGTGTTGAAACTTTTTCTCACATTACATGTATTGTGCAGTTTAATGTTTGTTGTGGGGTAACCAAGAATGGATTGTGTTACAACCTCAGTGTTCTTCGCATTTTACAGGGAGCTTGTCACGTGTCATGGATGATCATCTAAGCTTCATTTTGTAGTACTTTACAAATATGTATGCTCTCATTATCATTTGTTTGTGCCGAGACCAAATTATGTACTTAATTTTAGTTCAAGACTTTCAGACCAACAACAAAACGTTGGTTTTATAAAATTTAATTACTTGATATATTTTTTGCGAAAACCCAATATGTAATAAGTTGGTACTTAAATATGGTTAGAAATGCAACCTTAAAAGTGATTTTGGTTCCAGTGATGCAATTTTGCTTGTACTGTTACTTTTCTCAAATCGGTAGCACATATTTTAGGGGTTCACTTGTTTGTGGTGATGCTCGTTGTGGATCATCAGGACACTTAGAAGACCTAGTCGGACTCTATTAAAAGTTAACATAGCCATGGCCTATCCAAACTGTAATGGGCCATAGAAGTAAGTAATTAAGGTACATATACCCTACTGCAATTTTGTCTCATTCTGTCTGATATATTAGAGGTATAACCTCTTCTTGCATTTGGATGAGCTTCCTCTTGCATCTTTCTGTGATTCATTTGGGAACTGTTCGAATGCATGACTCATAATATCATATATTCATACGTGCTTACAACTTTACAATCAATTAACAAGTTCATGCCTCAATGAATCCACCTTACTAATGGGATTCTTGGTCTAGGCATAGGCAAAGCTAGCATCTTATGCCAGTTGCACGAACATGATGTAACAAGAGACCTATTGGGTCATTGTCTTAGTTCACAAGGAGGTGGATGTTTGTTTTATGATGATGAACATTACAAATTGGGTTTATAACACCAACAATGTCTAAGCGTCCTAATAGACTGTTTTATAGGACTTGAATTATAAGACCAAATAATAAATTACCCTATCTAATGGTGATCTAATAAGCCTGTAGTATCTTCTTTTTGCAGTCGTAACAAGTTTTTTAAGACATTATTGTAAAAAACAACATATTAGCTAAATTATATGAAACTGTTTGAAAAAGTGTTCTATAAAAAGATATGTTCATATGACACTTCTCAAAAGTGTCTTAAAGTAACTAATACGACGTTGTGTATTAAAAGTGTTCTAAAAACTTGTTAAGACGTCCAAAAGACGTTCTATGAACTTATTACAACACTTGTAAATATGGTGTTTTATTGTTTGGTTCTATAAACTCAAGTCTTATAAAACGGTTTATTGGAACACCTTGAAATTGTTGGTGTCCTATAAACCCAAATCCTTCAAACTTCTTTGATATAGAAGACCTGGATAATTATGATATTCTCTTCAGAGATCAATATAACATTCCAATGATACCCATTTCTCTTACCGATATGATGATCTCTTCTCCTCATCTGCCTATAGATAAGGATGTTGAGTACCGAGAAATCTTAGCAGAGTTTTTGGATTTCATGCCTGAAAATGATATGTCAACTGTGGAGAAGACAAGTTCTAAGCCTAAAGATATTATTGGTATTGGACCAGGACATTCAAATGATAACAATTTAATCTACAGACATGGAGTACTTGTTTTACACATGTTTTATACGTAGAACCAATCAAGGACGTCAAGAAAAAAAGAGTTACCATTGACATGATGCCTCTGTTTCTTTCAGATGCTCACAAGCTGGTCTGACTATTTTTACTTCTACAATTCACGTGCCTCGTCACATGCTGGTGAAACATAAAAAGTTTTATTCAAATTTCAGTTTGATAACTAAGTTATAAGTCACCTTGATCCAAGTCTTTTAAAAGCTTTAGTTTTAGTTGATTCCCCAAATAAACAAATTGTGAATTTTTGGTGATTACAAGATACTATATTTATGACATGTAACATAACATTAAACGAAAATTAATTTATAGGTATATTGATCATTTTGACGTTATACATGTCGAGGATAGTGTTTATACACTTTTTCATGCAATTTGGTGCTTACTTGCTTGATTAGATTTAACATTATACTATGCTGAAAATTAACATGTTTGTATAGTTACTAATACAATTTGGTATTTTGTTACATAAGACAATGCTAATGAATGAAAAGGAAGAAGAATAGAATTCGATAATCATTGAGAGGCATCATTTGGCTATAGCCTAAATATGTTTGATTTTGTCAGTTACATATGAAGAGGCTAGGGGAGATGATCACTTCGAGGGTATATGTTCCTTATGTTGTCCAAAACGTCGTGGACCACCTTGTATTATCCGGGAAATGAGATAAGTGGTTGATTTTTTTCGTAGTTTCTGCTAGCATCGTTTTTAAGAGAGAATGACAGAAGAAATTTTGTTGTTTGTACGATTGTTTTGGAATTTTGGATATGTGAAAATAGAGTTAAATGTTCATTTTTATGATGCAAGTAGTCATTGGACATGCGACACACTTCACATTTTATACGTTGTTTACTTAATGACGTCTTGTCGTTAATGATGAAAACTTGTATTTGAACTACATCTTTTATTATGAAGAGTTGTCTTTTGTTTATATTTGTGTCTTTTGATTCATCATATACAAGTGTATTGGTATCCATAGAACTCAACAAAAAACATAAAATCCCTTTCAAGCATTTAATGGATGTCCGTAGTCGTTTCATTGATTTGATTGTCAAGTACAAGGTTTAACCTCAATCTAGCCATAGATGCTCGCCATTTTTTTCGCTGTATTGCAGCGGCTACATAACCAGTTAAATGAAAATGAGAGGATTTGATAGTTATTTTATCATTTTTTGTATTATTTTGATTAAAAACAATACTCATTTAACAGTTGGATGACGTGATTTATACATTTTCCACGTTGTTTTAGTTGTAATAAATTGATTTAAAAGTTGAATGATGGGACGTATACATTTTTATGATAGAATAACAAGTTTAGAGGTTGTTTATTATCTTTTTGTTAAGATTTGCATGGAGTAAGGTTAATTAACGTAAACCCTAAATGTAAACTAGAATACAAAAACGGCCAAATTACGTATTAAAATCATATATGATTTTACATTAATGGTCGAAAAAGGTGTTGTTGGCGACTTTGGCCGCATCTTCAGGCTGTGGGTCAAAGTCGCATGAATCACATGTGATTTTGTATGTGATGTTAGTGTAAAATCATATGCGATTCGACCATTTTCTTATATTTTTAAATAAATATCATTCTCATTTGAACTCGACTCTATATATGCATAGTTGTATCTATATACATTGTATGTATGTATCTATTTATGAATCATATATTACACATCTAAGAAAAGTATAGACCAAAATCTTAATGTGTTGTTACTTGGTATGTTTAATGTATATGGACATAAAAGCATAAACTCAAAAGGTGTATCTTATCATTAACTTCCATCATGATTTTAGGTTGAACTAAAAACTATTGGGTCAACGTACTGTTATTACTTAGATACATAAATCTAATTTCATTTGTACTACGATATTAAATTGAAACAATACCAGAAATTTATATATATAATCAACATATATATATGTATAATTACAGATGAAAAACGACAATGAAATGAGTAAGAATTTGATTACTAACTTGATTATGTTGATGTGAATCCAACACAGAACGAGTGTAAAATTGAGGCCTGTAGTAGCAGTATCCTTAGACAGAAATTCGTCCGGTGAATTGGACGTCTATCTAGAGGATACAACAATATGTTCAAGAAACAAACTTGAACCCATCGAATCGATTATCTTCCAGGAATTTTCTGTATATGAGATCGATTAGAACAGAGAGGCAAAAAACCCAGGAATTTTCTGTATATGCATCCAAAAAATGAGAATTTGAGGGAGTATATGTAGTATACCTTAACTGTCGGGTGACGATAGCTGTCGGACAGAGCCAAGCCTCGGAGCACCCTGTTTCCTGCGCTAATGTTATCAAGAGACCCCAAGAGCCTCAAGGCCCTCTTGATATTTAATATGTATTGGATCCAACTAGATAGTTAAACAATTTAACACTAGGTATGGTCTTAGTAATATAAGGCACTTGAAAATTTGAGATTTGGTCTATGTGGGACAAACCAAATACCCAACACGTATTGCATTGGGCCACTGGTCATTATAGTTAAAATTAGTCGGTGAGCAAAAAAACTAAAAATAGGGGAACTGAAAACGAAAACGAAGCGTATAATGCTAATTTAGTACATAATCTGTACCAAATGAACCGTGAAATGAAATTGATGCAAAGTCATCGTCGATACGTCCAGAATTCAGTCGAAACAGATATCGTACATTTAGTTGACCAAAAATCGAACGCCGTAAAATCACGAAAAATTGAACAAAAAATAAATCGAAGACATACTCAAGATGACATGTATGGGAACACGCTTAAAAGACCCTTCTTGATTCCGACAAGTCACTTACAAAAGTGAATAAATAGTACAGTTTAAGCATACACATAAATAATTAAGACGACATACATGCAATACAAGTGACGACTAATTGTCACGTGACTCATGAGCAGATCTCACGTGATATCCCCAGCCTGGAGTTGGGTATGTCGAATACGATCCGATGGTTCTGCTGCTGCATATTGGCGATGACGTTGAGGGCCGGTGACGATGACATGGCGAGACAGGTGGTGGCGCCGGAGGAGCTGTGGATCAGGAAGTTGTCTTGCGGCAACGACATGTTAAGTCCCGGGAACATGAACGTCATTGTTGGCACTTGTTTCCCTATCGGGATCGTGTAGCAGGTGTCGAACCCACCAAGTGACGAAACTACTGCTGTTTTACCCATCCGCCTTCGGAACTCGTCTCTCACTGCAGTGTACGCTCCGTCCACCAGCCTCGTGAATACGGTCCCTGAAAAATTCGACCTTTAAATTGATACATTTTATGGTATTTTATGATCAAAATGATAGATTTAGAAAAAGAAGCAAGTAATTTGTGTAAAAATTTGTGTCAATTTAAAATTGTTAAACAGAATTTAGGGAAAAAGTTGATTATCGGCAATCCAACTAGCCCCACATGAAACCTGCCTCCAAGCCAAGGATACCAATATAATAGGGCTTTTTTTTTTAACTCACTCAGCAACCGGGGATGGGGGTGTGTCTTGTATTTGGACAAATTCGTCTTATGAATCCAATTTGTTTGAATTTCGAGAGAATTACCTGAATCGATGATGGTGCCACCACCAGTGTTTGGG